TTAATGGTGAGTTACCTGGTAGGTTGACCAGACTCCACACCCAAGAGCATTTTGAAAACACAGAAAACATCAACTCAATGGATGGTGGCAGGGAGAAGTAAGGTGATGGTGGAGAAGAAGAAGGGGTCTGAATACAATCAAAACACATTGTGCTGAAGAGTAATAAGATGTTTAATTAGTGTCTTCTTTTATCCATTCTGGGGAAGCATTTTCCTCCCTGTGCTTAAGGAACAAGCTAAGGATTTAATGTGTGCAACAGGAGCATTCTACCACTAAGCTAAATTTCCACCACAATAAGATTTAATGTAAATATCACCAATAACAACCCATAACTTGATCTGCCCACTAACAGCTAATTTTAATAAAATCAAATCATACCACAAAAAAGATAACTTGCCCCAAGAAATGTGTCTTTAATCCTAAACTGAGTAAATTGCCTCTAATGATCTTGTCACATATATTTGATAAATTTAATGTGACCTAAAACATATTTTTATAAAATAATCCATGTTGCCAGAATTGATGAAAATTGATTACACTAAGAATAAATGCAGACACAGAATTTGTAGAACTTCTTTGTAATCTGTACATAATTCTTATAAATCTAGACTGTCAAAATAGATTACAGGAATTTGGAATGTTGGAACATCTCTAATAGAATCTATTCACCTTGTTAATGGAGTGCTCAGTTTCCAGGACCATGATTAATTCTCATGTTTGTAAAATGGCTCGTAGATTTCAAAGATCTTGCAAAATCCATGGAAGTTTGCTAAATTACTGCAATTGTGCCATCTTTCAAATAATGAGGGTGAGTTAGAGAGGTGCTTTCTTACTACCTTAATTGCTTATTTCCCATCCATTCTTCTAACCTTACATCAAGCTACCTATAAGAGCCCACATCTACAAAATGCTAAAATCAGGATTATTTTAACGTGGAGGGATATTATCACACAAAAAAATGTATTCCATCTTTTTCAAAATTGGCTGTAAGTTTTTAGGTTTACAGCTGAATTGTTACAGTTATACAATATTGAATATGTCAATGCTGTTGTAATGAAATGCTTCTTCTAAGTATGTGGTTATTAAATAAATAATAAGCTGAAAAAAATGTATTTCATGTAGTTGTCCTAATGCTAAACCTGATTGCTTCAGTATTGTCTACCAGCTTTGAAAACACATAACCACACATAAACATAACCTATGAGTTCACTCAACAACAGTTAGCAAAGCAGTGATATCAGCACAAATGAGAGCAAGAGCTTCCTAACAATACCATGTAATCCTGGACTTCCTTATTTCTGTCCCATGCAAGGCAGATGGTCATTGTAATCTTCCTAGCAAATTGAAGCTCTATTTCAACGTTTCAGTCTTATTGTCTAAAAATGATAAAAGCATCTTTTTTGAGATTAGAAGCAAAGGAGGTCAACTTCCTGAATATTTTTATTCCTGACATGAGCCTGGCTCCTGGCTTTTCTATTTTAGGCTCGGCCCCAGTGCAACCCAAGACATGCACTCACAGTGGAGCGTGTGTGCACATCACAGGACTGTGAGTTGCTGCTGACACAGCCATCACTCTTACTCTGTGGAGTATTTCTTTCATTCTTTTGCTGATGTCATTATGAAAAATAGTGCTGGCACAGCCTTATCGCCACTTGGCATTTTTTCATATTTATGTGGCTAACTTATTCTTGAAATTTTATTTCCAAAGATGTTGTTATGTGGTGAAGCAGTTTCTAAGTGGAGTTCTTATTATAATTTTATGAATTTAATATGTTGGAGTATTGATATATTTCACTAATTTTTAAAAGCTCCTGAAAACCAAAAGCAATAAAATATCAGAAGGTATTTATACTTCTAAAACCTGAATACAAATAACACATTTCTATTCACTATTAATTGTCTAATTACTGATGATAGAGCTTAAACTTTAATTTCTTAATTTGATAGGGTGTGCGAGCTTTCTGTGTCATTGTAATTGTATCATCATTAATTTTCACTTAATATTAAATATTAGCTCATAATAAATAAAATCATATATTTCCAGCACATCATCTACAATGGGACAAGATCTCAGATGTGCCACTTACACTTTATGCTCATTTTCAGCACCTCTTATAATTACCTTCTCCAGAAGACCTACATTTATAATACAGCTGATAAAAATACAAAAAGAAATCCAAGACAAAAATCTAAGGACACTGAAGCTGGGATATATGGCCACGCATAAAACCATCAAAAATCTGTTTTCACTCCACGTACAATTCTGCTGATTACTTTTTAATCTAAGATGTACATTTCACAATGATGAATAGAGAGGATTTTATTACATGCACTTGAATGAGCTAAGGAAAGGCCTTACCTGTATGGGTGACATGTCATTTGTAATAAGAACATATTTTAATATTGAGACATAATGAAATTATAAATCAGTAATAATCCACAGCATAATGAAAATTTAAAGCTAGTTCAAAGTCATCTAAAAATCAAAAGACACTTTTGGAAAGGTTTCAATGATCTTAAACATTTAAATTGTAAAATCACATTTGTGAGGATGGAAAGATGGTCTAGCAGTTAAAAGCACTGGCTGTTCTTTCAGAGGACCAGGTTAGGTTCCTAGCACCCACACAGCAGCTAACAGCAATCAGTAGCTGCAGTTCCAAAGGATCTGATGCCCTCTTCTGACCTCCGTGGGCATTGTACATATGTAATACCCTTACAAACGTGCAGACAAAACACACATACACATGAAAAATGCACATTTGTAAATGAATACTTAAATAATATTTCATAATAGTGCTGGCTCTTCTTCATAGTTCTTTAAAGCAGTTTATTCATTCATTTATTTATTTTGAGTGCTGAGGATCAAACCAAAGACCTTGTGCATGTGTCTCCCGATTGGCTGGTTCCTCCAACGGGCGGGGCCTGAGACAAAGCAGGAACTAGGAAGGGAAGCTAGGAGCTATCTTGGGATGGAAGCCAGGAGCTGCTGGTAAATCGTGATGGTGTAGGAAACTCACCACCAGGGCAGCAACTCAAAGACAGAATGGACTGACTCCCTGTGGACCTGGGGTGAGATCGCTGGCCCTGAGGCTGTGAGCGCATGCTGGCGGGGTTATGGGCGTGGCAGGTCTGATAAGGTGGGCTCTGAGTCCAGGCAGCATGGGGCCGGGCACTGGATACTCATTCCTTTATAAGTTAATAAACTCACATATATGGTTTGTCTGATTGCGCAGGAGACCTAGAGAGAATTCGGGCCACTCTACCACTGAGTAAGCACGCTACCACTGAGCCATATCCCAGACCCTAAAGGCTATTCCAGTCAGTTTCAGTGTAAGAATGACATGCTTCAAGTAAAATTCATTTAACTTGCATCACATGCACATGACTAGATACATCAACCATGTTGTTTTTGCAAAATATGGGAAGGTTGCATGCACGCAGTTAGAGCATACTGACATGGTCTCCCTATTGTACAAGTTTCTCTAGGAATAAGTTAACATTTTCCCCAGTAGGAGTCAGTTGAGTTTATGGTAAAGAAGTCATGTGACGTTAACAATAACTTTGTACTTGATCATGATTGACATGCTCCTCAAATCCCACTGTTTAATGATTTAAAGTTCAAGAGAGAGAAGTATAAAAATATATGAGAACATGGATTCACTCTGATCAAGGAAAAGTGAATAGATAAAGAAAAATGTGGTTGAAGAGATGATGGAGCTCCTCAGCCTTCAAAATAGAAAAAAAAAAGCTTGTCATTTATGACCATCTGGGTGAAACTGTAGAACATTATGCTAAGGGAAATAAGGCAGATGCAGGATAAATGCTTTATAATCTCATGTATATGCAGAGTCTAGACCTAAAGAATTCAGAGAAGCAGAGAATAGAGTAGTGGTTGGCAGAGACTGAAGGAAAGAAGAACAAGGAGGCACAAAGGGCACAAAGTTTGTTATGCAACACAAGCAAGCCATGGATGGCACAGCACAGCCTATAGCTGGCCACATTGAATTGTATAGATAACAGTTTGTTGAGAGGAAATCTTATGTTAACTGTGTCTCTCAAACTAATACAGTAAATGCAAAAGAACATTTTAGAAGTAACAGATATATCTAAGGCATAAACACAGTGATGGCTTCATGGTTCATGGATGTAAAACAAACCCCAACACACACAGTTTTGTCTATTAAACATACAAAGCTGTCTGTAAGTCACTCAATAGTTTGTATGCATATATATATATAAATACATATTTCATCATAATTGAAATTTGAGTTTTTTCAAGTTAAATGTTGACACATAGAAATTTTTACTTAATAATAACAATTAAAATAAGTTTCAAATTTCTTTTAATTTTGAAATCAAAAACAACATGTACTGTGGGTTCTATTCAGTGATAATATATTCAATTATTGGTAAATGGAAGCTTATGTAAAGTGAAAAACTGATATAGAAAGACATAAAAATCACATTGGTCACATTTTATTCTACAGAATTTTAAGACATCACAGCTCAAGGCACAAAAAGATCTCCTCCAGTTTAACAGTACAGAACATTCCTAAAGCATTCACACAATATATACAACTCTTTCTGAATAAAGCTAATGGCATCTTCTTAAGCCACCTGTTCCTAAAATACATATATATAAAAGGTACATCATATATTTTATCTCATTACTATAGTTCCTCTCTTAGATTCTTGTCTTTCTATGTGTTGAAATATTCTCTATACCGAAACCATAACATTAATTACAGTCAACTTCTCCATTTTAAAAGATAATTTATTTTTATCATAAAACACTCTAATCAAAAATATTTCCATTTAGATAAGTTGTGGCATTTTGAGATTGGTCTATAACAAGTAAGACTCTATTATCAATTGATGCATGACTTTCTTCACGCATCAACTGGCATTTTCAGGCACCTCAAATGACAACATAGGATCAAGGCAGCACCAGGTCAATCGTTTCCTGGGAGTTCCAAATGATTGGAAGAAAGGACACTTACCATGTTCCAGCCAGGGTAGAGGTAGTCTGTACCCACAAATTCAAAATAATGAGCGAAGCCTTCCTTCAGCCACACATCTTCCCACCACACAGGAGTCACAAGGTCACCAAACCACTGCAGGGTCAGATAAATGAAGAGATGTCAGATGTAATAGCATATATCTCTGAACAATTTTATCTAAAATTATATGTATTAAACTGTTATTATCATAACTGGAAGTCATTCCCAAATTGATTTTGTGATTTTAAAATGTGTTGTGGCAAGACTGTATGGATTTATTGGACTACATGGGTGACACTGTTATTTCATAAATGCAATCAGGGAGAACAAAAAGAACAATCAAGGAACACAAGAATGCTTAACTTGATGAAGAAAGGATTCGGAAATCAAAGCTGAGGACAACACTGTTCAAATATTTGAAAGTCTATTATATAGAAGAAAAGGCCTGTGTCTTGTGGCCCTATGGGGACAGACTGCAACTGATGAGTCCAAATTAGGACTGACCAATATCTGCTGAAGGTATATGAAACTCTCTAGCTAATGGCACAGCAATACCACCTAGAGTGGTGGTGAACTGCTCGTCACTGGAGGCTCTGAAACACCACCTTCTAATGGCAAAGAGCATTCAGAGGAGTCATTGGCTGATGCAGAACCATCCTTGCTGGACTCTCATGATCCCATGATAATCAGGGGTCAGGCCAATAAAATCTTAGATGGTTCATGAAAAGTTTTAAATGGTGTTTGAATTAAATAATAATAGTTATTTAAAAACCATTGCTCAGTTTAGAAGTGCTAAAGAAGTTCTTTTTTTATTAAAATATATTATAAACCAGATACTAGCCTAAAATCTTGAAATTAAATGATGAATAGTTAGGCATGTCCCTTCTCATACAAGTGACAGTTATGAATGAAAAGACCATTAGGTAAGGTAAATGATTTAAAAATAACAATAAACAACACAATTTCAGATTCTCATAAAATGTTACAGGAATGGAGAAAGAACTGCTTCAATTGTAAAAGCAAAATAAATCTCTAAGCAGATAGCATCTGAGATGAAATGTTAATGATAAGAAATAACCAGCCATGAGAAAGCCTTACACGGAGTCAGGATAGATAGCAGACTAAGTAATTCTTAGTGTAACACCTCTACGTGGTATGCCTTCTGACTCCCAAGGCTCAAGGGGGACAGGGGGAGGGGGATGGAAAGATCTAAGAAACAGAGGTGTTAGATATCCAAAAGGAAACAGAGTTTTCCAGACAGTTGGTCAGTTACTCATATGATCTCACAGCAATGGTGATAGCATGAACAAGTCCCATGAAAACTCAAACCAGACAAAATATCAGCAAAGACATCAAGACGTGGGTAAGAAATCCCAGCCCTACCTATGGAACCATTGGCCCAATGGTTGCTGGGAGGGGGAGAGTAGGTTTCTTTAAAGGATGTGACTCTTAATAGGTTAACCAGACACAAATTAAACTTTATAGGATATAT